ACTGCTGCCCTGTTTCACTACGCGTAGGTACAGAGCTTGTTTAACAAGCCAGTAGGTGGCCCTAGAGAACCGAGGGCTATTAGATATGCAATTGATAGTTGGTTAAGCTTTAGCTCTTTAAATTGATTCAGGTAATCAACGGTTATAGCCATCTCTAAAGACGACGCGAGAGCAGTGCAAACAAGTATACTATAAGGGATGTTGGCAGATGTATGACTCTTATATATCTCCATGTTGATAACAAAGTATCCACTCTCCCTATTGTTACTTGCGCAATTCACCAAGCTCAACAAAGGTGTTCATAAGATTATCTTGCAGCTAAGTCTTGAAAGAGGCATCAAACCCTTTTGTGATCTCAATCAACCCTAAGTATGCCCCTCCTGAACATAAGTGATCTTGCCTTAGCCACAGAGCAGAATACTTCAGATTGCGGCTTTGTTTCGGGATCAGAATCGAGCGTTGAATAGTTTGCTCAGTAATTATCCGAACTGAACGGATAGTGTTCAACTTGGAAGAGTCTATGCCCTGCCGAAAGTTGCGTAGGCTTGACAAGTTGTCATCGAACCATGACAGTGTCCTATTGCGCGGATGATCGGAGGTTACACTGTGTTCGGCCTGGGCTGGTGTAGTGGCCAATGTGAGTTCGTGAGGTTGCGCCGCCGAACCACAATCGGCTCTTCAAGTTATGCGGAAAGCACAGTAGTCGGCACTGTCCGAAGATAAGAATGAAGCTATGGAAAGATCTCGAGCATCCTCAACTTACGATAGTGGTTTAGTCAAGCTCTCATTCGCTAAAAAAACATCGAGCCAGCCTGGCGCGTGCCTAGTTAGCTGCGATATTTGGGGTGGATGTCTTATCGCGTCTCGGCTAGAGCACTGTTTAGAGCGTACGCTTCCGCCACGGCTAGTGCACTTCGGAGACAGCACCAGCAAACGGGTGAAGCACATCTTGCCCCTCCATCTTATGCCGATCTGTAACATAAGAAAGATAGCAGAACTTCGATACTTATATGTAGAAATATCAAGATCTCACAGCTTTAGCGTTCTGTGTCCGTCTCTGTCGAGCAACGTGCCTTCTTCCCCTATCTGGCCACGACCCGGACCCACACTCCCGTCCCAACGTCATATCTCCTTAAGTTATCCAATTCGATAACAAGATATTACACTCAGTCACCATGGGTTCTATGCCAGCAGGTTGGAGGCAGCTCGACATTGCCGTCGTCGGTGGTGGTATCGGCGGCATGTCCGTCGCCACTGCTCTACGTCGTGCCGGCCATCTTGTTTCCATTTACGAGCGTAATGACTTCGCCGGCGAGGTTGGTGCATCCGTCTCATGCGCCGCCAACGGTACTCGCTGGCTGCACGAGTGGAATGTGGATGTCCAGAAGGGTGACCCAGTCGTGTTGAAGAAGCTCATCAACCGTGACTGGAAGACTGGCGAGCCTGTGAGCGTCTATGATCTGGATGACTACGAGGAGAAATGGGGATTCGTGTACAACATGTTTCACCGCCAGTATATGCATGCTATGCTGAAGGACTCTGCTTGTGCCGAAGAGGGCGAGGGAGTTCCAGCCAAGCTGTTCGTCAACCACAGGGTGAGTCGTAATTTCCAACAGATCGCAATTGCTGTCCTTTTTCAATGTGCTAATTAATTGAATAGTGCAAAAACATTGATCTGGCATCTGGTCGAATAGAATTCGAGAACGGTGTCTCTGCCACTCACGATCTTATCATCGGCGCTGACGGTATTGGTTCCGCTGTACGAGGGCTTATTGGCATTAACCCTGCCAAGCGCCCTGCCGACTCCAGCTGTCTCCACGCAAACGTTCTCACCGAAGATGCTGTGAGGCTCGGCCTAGTAGACTACTCTAAAGATGCCGCACTGGAGTACTGGGGTGGTCAGGAAGGCAAGTGGGACAAGATCGTTCTGTCACCTTGCAACGGTGGCAAGCTGCTTTCTTACTACTGCTTCTTCCCTCGTGAGAAGGGCGACTATGTGAACCAGTCTTGGGGCGTTGATGACCGTCCGGTTGAGGAGCTTCTTGCTCCATACCCCGAGCTAGACCGTCAGGTCTTTAAGCATCTCGAAATCGGAAAGGACATTCAGCCATGGCGACTCTGGATGCAGTAAGTTTTCACGGCCTTCTTTCTCTTGCTCTCCTTTATCTCTGGGCTAATATTGAATGTGTAGCGACCCGTACCCGTATATTGCGAAGAGCATGGTTTGCTTGCTCGGTGATGCTGGACATCCGGTATGCAGCAGAACTTCGCTCCTGCAAACGGAAAATGAATGCTAATACACTGCAGATGATGCCTCACCAAAGTCAGGGAGCTTGCATGGCTATTGAAGACGCTGCAGCTCTTGGCATTCTCTTCAACAAGAAGTATTTCAACGGAGATATTTCTGAATCTCTTGCTGTCTACAATACCGTTCGCTTGCCTCGTGCTACAAGAGTTCAGGCAGCTGCAGCAAAGGCTGCCTACAACATCAACGAGCGTATTGGTACGTAGGAGAGCATTTGCCTCTAGATCACTAGTTGCTAACTCGGAGATCAGGCTTCTCTAGCAACACCAATCTGTCCACTTACAAGGTCGAGGATGAGAAGAAGAAGCTGACCATTGAGGAGATGAATGCGTAAGTGGCCCTATCACCTACTGGTCGATCACTCGAGTCCATGACTAATTTTCCTTCAGCTATGACATGTATAAAGATATTGAGGAGAGCCTTGCTGAGAAGCGAGGTGTTCCGTTCACAGATAAGTTCACCAAAGGGCTACCTATTGGCTTGAAGCTCTCAAATGGCGTTACAATCGGACAATAGGTCTGAGTGTCTTTCCTGCGACGAATTCTTGTACATAGATTAGGAGTTTGATCATTGCCCTATCATAGAGCTAGGAAGCATGTATAGCGATATTGAAGCTTTCCAATATAGTTAAAGATCTCAATCAATGACTCTATCTATAGCCTTCGCTTATTGAATTCATGTTATCAGCATTCATTAGATAATTCGACTTGAGACCTGGGTTCTAGACCGCCTCGGTCGCATTGTAGAAGCTCAATTGAACCTTTTGTGGCGTCTTACAGAACTTTCATCCTGATCGAGTCATAAAGTAGACCTTGTAAGACTTCTCCGGATACTTTCAAGGACTCTTGACATTATTTCCGTAGTTTCATTTTCAAGCGTGGGGTTATGGAGTTGAGGGCGTACCAGAGATTGTGGCAGATAAGCTTCTTAGCACCGAAAGTACAGCGCCGAACACGGCATAGTAGTGGGTCCCCCCTCCAGACCACGGCCCGGGACCCGACCGAAGAGACCCTTCACTGCAAGACCATGAGATGTCACGATAAGCTCCTCACTGGCATTTTGACGCAGGAGATTCCGTCTTCTGTCGCTTAGCGCTGAGGAAATCAAGTTATAGCAAGCCACCAAGGCAATTCTGCGTTTTCAGCAGCCACCAGCGCATCACTCCGTGCAACCGCTCTACTAAGCACGTCACACACGAATGTCGAAGTCAATCGCATCTCCCGTGGTGGACGCCACAGGCAAGACACGCCTCCGGGAATCCCTCGAGCGCGCAAAGAGAGGAGAAGGACCAAGTGTCGGCCAATGGCTCGAGTTTCCAGGATACTCGCTGGCCCGGACAGTGGCGCCGCTTGGAGAAGATGTAAGTCCTCGCAATCTTCAAGGGATGCCCGACTTACATATCCTCCCCTCGATGGTGCTCTTCTTTGCCCTGGTTGGCTAGCTACTCTATTCTTGCAGCATACTGATGAAAGACTCCTTCGATAGTGGGTTCTTATCGACACAGAACATGGCAACATCGACGATAATGAAATGTATCTGCAAGTTGGTGCCATTTCTTGCTCTGGTGTCTCGCCAATGGTGCGGATTCCTGGATCAGAGCACTGGATGGTGAAGCGGGCTCTGGATTGTGGTGCTCATGCCATCATGGTACCAATGTGTGAAACTAGGGTACGATAATGTCCCCATAGTCTTGGAGATTTGTCTCTAATGAAAATTGTAGGAGCAAGCAGAGGCAATCGTACGCGCATGCAAGTACCCTTCGACTCGATGGCCCACGGGTCTTCGCGGAGCTGGAGCAATGTATGCTCCTGCAGCTTTCAACCAGAACGGAAGAGAATATCTACTTAGTGCCAACGATAACGTTATGGTTTGTGTGCAGATCGAGAGCCGGAAAGCTGTGGAGAATGTTGAAGAGATTGCTGCAGTAGATGGCATTGACATGCTATTTATTGGTCCGAACGATCTTGCTTCGTCAATGGGATACGTGGCTTTCGACCATGGTTCAATTCCGGAAGTACAAGAAGCGTCAGCAAGAGTGCTGAAGGCTGGAATAGATGCTGGCAAATACGTTGGGCACTTCGCATTGAGCGCAGATGCGGCAGCCCAAAAATACAAACAGGGTTTCCATTTCGTTAACTGTGGAGCTGACATTGTTGCCATAACAGCGTGGATGGCAGGTGAGATGGGCAAGTTGAAGACGCTTGTTGCAGAAAACCAGAAATTAGCCGCAACGACAAACGGTGAAAAGAAGGTCGACATTGGATACCATTAGACAACACAAAATAGAAATAAGAATACAGCTATAAAAGCGTCCAAGTTCATGCAAATGCCCTCGCTATGTAGGATAAAGCCCAATTCGTATCATCAGGGAGAACGCCGATTAACATTTCATACAGAATTTCTAACCGTCTGCTGCAGTTGTAGACGTTAGCCCACATGTATAAAAGCTTAATTCTTCTAATGACGGAAGCATCATACATGAGAATCAATTTTGGGTCAATTTAGACTATTATAAGAGATTTCCCTGTCCAGCATCCACTCTTGTTCTGCTTCAGTTATGGGTATTCCGCTTCCTCGTTCAGGAAACTAATTATACCGCATGAAATTGGTCTGTGCCTTATAATCTCATAGAACAGACTGCATTTTCAAAGGGAACAGTCAACATCCAGTCTCTTAGTCCTTTGACAAACACTTTCAGTAGAGGTATCTGAAGCTCTTCACCGGTTCCGTAGTTTCGCCGGTCTTCTCTCCATCACCTGCAGTAGACATTTCAACTCTCTCTTCGCGATCTAGCTTCTTATTCTGCGCGATCAGGTAAAAGCGAAGCACAAGAGCGCAGACGCAGCCGAATCCAAGGATAGCAATCTCCGCTCCAAATGACTTGACATACAGCGGACCGTACTTCGCAGGCCAGATGTACGAGCCAGGGATCGAGCCAATGTTGCCCATTGCATTGACGATAGCAATGGCAGCTGCCTTCTTGGCTGTAGGATGAGGGATGGTGTTGGAGATCCACGCCAGCATGACGAATCCTGAAGCAAACCCAGCTATACAAGTTATTAGAACAATGTTGCTAAAGTTAGTAGATATCTTGGGGAACATACTGGTCATCAGAAACATGGAGAAGTAGCGAGGTCCTACAGACTTAGTCGTGGCGGAGATAATGTATCCCACAATGCAAGTAAGCGCTGGGCCGAAGTAATGCAGGAAGCGCTCTCCGGTTCGATCGGCGTGCCATGCGTTCGGTAGAGATACAAGCACTGCCCAAATCCATGGCGGGGCGGTAAGAAGCAAAGTGGTCGTAGTACCATATCCTAGCGCTTGAGTAATAGTAGGGAAGAAGAACACAAACTAGACCTGTTAGTCTTTATCAAGGTAGGTCACAGAGGAAAGAAAACATACACTCAATCCCATGATAGTTGCGTGATATGTTATGCCGAGTAACCAAACCTTAGGATCTTTGACCGCCATAAGCAGCCCTTGAATAGCTGTTATCTCTTGGCCCATGCTGTCTTCTGAGGATACGCCGGCATCAATCACTAGCCTTCCCTCAGCAATTACTTTCTCCTCCGGTGACAGCCAACGTGTAGTTTGGGGATAGTCGGGCAAGATGAAGACAGCAATAGCAGCAATGGCGACAGTAATGGTGCCTTCAATAATGAATAGCCACCTCCATGCGCGAAGGCCGCCCGCACCGTCCATGTCGCCTAAGATTCCAGCCGCGATCAGACCTCCAAAGGCTTGGGCAGCCAGGTTGCCCGCGTTAAGGACAGTCACTCGCAATTGCATCTCTTTGCGTGTATACCAACGGGAGAGGAAATACAAACTTCCTGGAAAGAAGCTTGCTTCCACGCATCCCAGGAAGAAACGGCAGAGGATTGCGGCTGTGGCATTGTGGACGGCTCCCGTGGCGGCAGAAATGACACCCCAAACGGCAACGCAGGCGCATAGGTACCAAGACGGTCGAGAGATAGCGTTGAGAATCAAGTTGGAGGGAACTTGCATCAAGACGTAGCCGACGAGAAGAATAGATATACAGGTCTGATATTGAACATCGGTGAGCTTTAGGTCTTTCTCCAAGCCTCGAAGGCGCGCGTTTGCAAAATTGTTACGATCGATGAAGTTGAGGATGAACAAAATGATCATGACAGGAAAGATTCGCAAGTCAATCTTGCGAACAAGAGCTTTCTCTGCCGCGGGGTCCCAGGTAGGAACAGCCACGGGTGATTGCTCGCCCGTCATAACATCGACGGTAGGCGCTGGCGGCGACTTGCTGTCTGATGAGAGACGAGACTTCTCCATAATAATTTGTCGATGAGAGTCTTGTCTTTTAATTTTAGGGAAAGGTTCAAGAGATGAGGTTTTAAACAAGAAACCGAAACGCCTCGGCAGTTGATCTCTACTTTCACGTTGGGGTAACATCGTCCTAGACGGATGACCAGACAGACCCAACTGGCAGGCCTTTATATGCGCAGGCGCATGCTTCACCCTTGCCTGAGACCTGGGAAGGTTCGCCTTCCTACGCTAGTGCTATTCAAATGCTATTGAGACTTGAATATCAAATCGCTAGCCTGGAGTAATGGAGGTGTCTGGGGTTGTCTAGTGAGCAGTGGACCACCAAGATAAGCAAAATGGGGCAGATGGGGATCGCTCGAGGGTGGTGAGTAGTGTTCAATTGTAGGCGGGCCGGGCTCCGAAGCGAAGCTACTCGTGACGGCCTCCCCGCGATTATCGCAGCAATGTCGCCGACGGTGATGCATCTCCGACACGCTTGAAGACGATTGGGATTGGCCGGGTTCGCTGCCTATAGAAATTGACACCCGCAGATTGCTTGCTCTGGTTGTACATCGCCCGTACTGTTTTCTGTCTTGTCCAATACTTGAGCACGCATTACAGCCAACCCACCTTATCCCGTGTTCTCACTCTTCCCGAGAAAACCCCCCAAACGTCCAAACATGGATGCGCCACTCCCAACATCTAACCGCGCTGTCGTCTGGGCAGGCGCACGAAAACTCGAGATCCAGCAACGACCTGTTGTTCCTCCTAGCGACACTGAAGTCCTAGTTGAGATTGTCGCGACTGGTATCTGTGGCTCCGACTGCCACAATTGGGAAAGCGATAAGGTCTCCCGTCAACTTGTTTTGGGGCACGAGTCCTCGGGAGTCATCATCAAGGTCGGAAAAGATGTAAAGGACAGAACAGTAGGGCAAAGAGTAGCGGTCGAGCCCGGATTTGCCTGTATGGAGTATGTACAGGATCGCCCTTGTTGCTGTATTGGAATAAGAGAATGAGACGGGTACTGACTTAGTACGACGTCAGATGCGAATTTTGCGTACGCGGCAATACGAACACTTGTGCAAAGCTGAAATATTGTGGTCTCGATCCTACAGATGGAACCCTCTGCCAATATTTCACATGCCCGGCGTCCATGACGGTGCCAATTCCTGATACTGTGTCATGGGAGGAGTCGGGGGCAATTCAACCTCTGGCAATTGCAGTGCAGCTTGGGCGACGAGCTGCATTGAACGCTCACCAGACCTTGGCAATCTTGTAAGCGAAGATCTTCGAGTGTTGTAGACCCCACTAACATATAACCCGACAGTGGTTGTGGACCGCTTGGTCTCCTAATCCTTGCGGTTGCCAAAGCCTACGGTCTGAAGAAGATTGTCATGTTTGACATCGAGGAGTCACGAACAAAGTTCGCAGAGTCTTATGGTGCCGATGTTGGCATCGTCACACCAAAGAACAGTGACCCGTCGAAGGATTCTTTGACTTTTTCGCAAGAATATGCCAAGGAGATTGTCGACAAGTACGAGCTTGGCCAAGGCTTCGATGTTACGGTTGAGGCCAGCGGCGCCGAGATCTGCGCCCAAATGGCGATTTGCATGCTCAAGTCCGGAGGTACATGTAAGTTGGACAAATCGAATGAGCGTGGGTTGAACATCATCCTAATCAAAGTGACATAGGTATCCAAGCCGGTCTAGGCAAACCCCTAACCTCTGTTCCACTATTTCTGCTCACAGCTAGGGAGCTCAATATTAAAGGTATGGTTTCTATATACACTGTTGCCAATTGCCATGACTGATGATCAATGACTCCAGGAACCGTTCGTTACACTCCGGGCTGCTTCGCCGATGCTATCAGTCTTCTAGCAAGGAAGAAGGTCGATCTAAGGCCATTAATCACATCCACATATCCCTTGACGGAGGCGGGCAAGGCATTTGAGGCACAACACGCAAGGAAAGACATCAAGATTGTGATTATGAATCAAAAATAGGCATAGAAATTAGGATGAGATAGTTTTGTGCTAATATCAATCTAACTAATCAAATGAAAGTTAATCGAACATTCTGGCCCTCGTAATCAGTTTTTTTCCAATGTAATCAGGTTGTTACATTACATCTGAGTGAATATCCATCCTTATCTCCTGGTGAAACGCGAGTGGGCTATCGAATGCTAGTGAGCTGTGCATCAGACGAAACCCGACCAGCCGGCCGGAGCTCATCCGACATATCAATAGCCGCTAGCACCCATTGCGGGAATAAGTTGCTTTCAGACATAGAGTATTGATGTTCAAGCTTTAGGGCAGCCATACACTTGAGAGCATGGCGACAATACCGACTAAAACCCTTCCTTCAGGGGATAAGCTTCCTATAGTATGTCATAATCCTTCACAACGCTCTCTTTCACGTAGTGGCAACTTTCTCTTGCGTATCTATGCTAATTGTGATCAAAGATTGCATATGGGACAGGAACGGCATGGTTCACAGACCCTCGAGATTACATCGACCGCCAGACGGTTGAGGCAATCAAAACGGCAATTGAGATTGGCTACAGGCATCTCGATGGAGCTCAGAGTGGGTCTGATGACCGATCAAGTAAACGAGTTGAGAAAGCTGACGGCTGTGTTCAAAGTGTACAATACAGAAGCTGAACTTGGAATCGCGATAACGGAATGCGGTGTCCCTCGATCCGAGCTGTTTGTCACAACGAAATCTCTTGGAGTTGAGGATGTTGAGGGGGCCCTCGTAGCCAGTCTTTCTAAACTACAGACTGATTACGTTGATTTGTAAGGAGTTTTTCCATGACTCCTTACATCTTTCTCCAGTTTTGAGATCTAAATTGTCTATACAGGTACATGATTCATACTCCCTTCGCAGCCACATCTCCAGACCAGCTACAAGCCGCATGGCGCGGAATGGAACGCTGTCTTGAACGTGGCCTGGCTCGAAATATAGGCCTCTCCAACTTTGCTCTTTCACACCTCAAAGCAGTGTTGGAAGTTGCAACCGTGAAACCAGCCATGAATCAAATCGAGATGCACCCGTACCTACAACAACCAGAACTACAAGACTTTCTCAAGAAGCAGAATATCGCGGTAGAAGGCTTCGCATCTCTGACTCCTTTGACCAAAGCAGCCCCAGGACCTGTCGATCCAATTTGCGCAAATCTCGCTGAGAAGTATCATGTCAGTCAATCAGCTATCATGCTAAGGTGGGTCATTGATCAGGGCGCTTCGGTCGTTACAACAAGTGGCCGGCGGGACCGATTGGAGGGGTATCTCAAGGAGGTGCCTTCGTTTACATTGACTCCAGGCGAGGTGGTCGAGATAAGTCGGGTGTCTGTTGGCAAGCGATTTCGCGGATTCTTCACGGAAGACTTTGAGACATTGGAGAAAGTTCAGTGTTAGGCTTAGAAGCCCTGTACAGCAAAATTATACAAAATGTTTATTCGCTTTGTTCTTGTCGACATCTGACTGAATTCATCCAGATGGGATTGACGATGCACCCCGAAAAATGGTTGCGGCTAGTTGTTCTTTCCTTGCACGTCTTGAGTACCATTGCCCGCCGCGTTTACGTTGGTGTTGACGTCTCCGCCCTCTTTCGCAATTGCGGCAGTCGCAGCAGCAAAAGCTGCGCCAGTTGTAAGAGCCCCAGCTGAGAGCCGTATGGTTTAGTCATTATAGTCTCAGTCGCGATTTGAGAAGAATAGTCTTACCATCTCCTGCCTCTGCAAGGGACACTGCCTCGGCGGCATTGGCAGCAGCTTCGAGACCCTATCGTAACCTGTTAGAACACGTAATACACATGACGTTTTCTTGTTGTCACTAACCTTTTCCCCGTTGCTTGCAGCTGGGTTTACACTGGGCTGTGCCGGAATGGCTCCCGACAAAGTAAATGCGCCAATAACGGCGAGTAAGACTGCGCTGGGGAACTTCATGATGTAAATTCGAGGTAGATGATAATTCTCTATTTCCCTCGGTGTATCGTGACAAGCGTAGAAGCAGTGAGAATAGTAGCTTATACTAGGATGACTAGAATGGGAAAATGAAGCATATGAGTTGAGGAATCGACCTTTACGGTATGGAGACTGTAAGTTATATAAACGGCACTTTAGGGTTTCTATGCCGAAGCTTGGATGCATGAGATATTGACATCAATGACTGTTTCGTGGCCAAAACGATTCACACTATTTTAAAGACACATCAGGTCTTTCCAAACAGAACGAAGAAGATCTCACGTCGGCATTGTAGCGTCGTCTGAAGATCCGGCATGAAGATCTGGAAATCGTGCCATCTTGGCACGGCGATTACGAAAATCAGGGGTAGATGAAACGGTTGGGCTTCGAGTTCCGATCGCGGATCACGTATGAACAGCGCACAACCAAAAGAGATCGCAATTACCATAAGATTGAACATAGTGGTCAGATGAACTTTACGCAATTTCTTGCATATGGTGGAGCAAACTTAAGGTATGCATTTGTAATTATGACGGGGTAGTAACTCTTCCAGTTCGCTCCGGTTCACTAATACGAGATACCGCAATGTGACCCCAGCGAAGTCTCATTAGGATGTAAGAAAGCAACCCCACGAGGTACAAATCATCGATGCATCTTCGAATGTGAAATTACATGTGTGAACTGTATTGTTTAGCTCTCCCACACTACAGAACCACAGCCTAAAATTGTACCTATCCCATGTTGAGAAACGGTGATCTGGACGATTTACACCAGCTTAGTATTGGGCGTGTTGAAATAGCTACCTCATTGTAAAAGATCAATGTTCATTTTACTCATCAAGAAATCAAGGTATCAGGATATGTTCAATAAGTAGTTTGCATTCGCCAAAGGGTAAATACTGGAGTCGTCATCATTATTCTTACACAACTCCTTGAAAGGGAGCTCTATCCAACGCTCCTTTCACAAGGGAACTGCCTAAGCACGTATAACCGGCTCATAGAAGCGATGTCTTCAATGGTTTTATTTTGGTTTTGTTCGGTTGTGGGAGAAACCTTTTGATGTTCTTCGAGCAATATACTGATATTGTAAGCCTATTGCTTTTGTCGTCACTTGCTATGTACGGTCCTATGTGTCGTAGAGTGATTTAGCCGGGGCATCGGCTGGCTTCTGTATCTTCTCATGCAGCTCGTCCGCCACTGCAGGTACGTTGCGCTCCAGATAGTCGTAAAGCTGATCGAAGTTCCGACACTTCTTGACCATGTTGAAGTCGGGCCACGGTGTGTATGACCTCTGGCCACTCTCCGGATCCTCAGTGTATATCCACTCATACGTGATCACATCAACGTCTGCATGACACATGATGCTCTGTAGCAGCATATGTAGACAATGATTGCGATGCGCAATGTGCGTCTCCGAAGGCGGCTTGTCCCAGTACGCGTCGTAATGGATTTCTTTACGCAGTGTGTTTAGACAGTGGATCTGGTGCACGAAACCAAAGCTGGCTACATAGGCATCATTGCCAAGGCCCCATTTTGGGTCGATCTTGACGGATTTGGCTGGATCCTTATGCACATGACGAATGTCAGAGGCGGTTACAGGCCAGATGTCATGGTCCAGAAACCCCCAGGCGGCGTCAACTGATGGAGAGGGGTCCCGCCTGTAAATTGAGGTGCTGTTGAAAAAGGTGCCGTCGAAGGATATGGTTTGGCTGTCAAGATCGATGACATCCAGAATCGGCGCTGTTTACGATTAGTGATGCGGAAGAGATAGAAGAAAATTAAATTTTGGGTGACTGACAGTAGCTAGAGAGCTCTTTGAGTGCGGCGTTGACCCTTGGCTTGCTTTCGGGTTCACCGCAAGCTGGGCAGGCACGCTCGGATTTAGCGATAAATACGAGGACTATGGTCAAGGAGAACAGCACGATATTGGCGATGGTTGATATTAACATCCAGTACCGTGTACTTCCAGAGCTATTTACTCGGAGGAAATTATCGTCATTCGCTGGTAACAAGGTGACATCTTCATTCATAGATTCGTGGTTAGACTTTTGAGTTCGCCATGAGGGAGGCCACTCAGTCCAGAATATTCTCCGAGAATGCAGGCCTCGTTTGGAGAACGACATGCTTAGGCGTTCTGGAAGTTGATAGTATCTCGTCTGGGGCAGAGGTTAGCTGGAGTAACGCGATTCGGGGGTGATTCAATGTTCAGTGGAGTAACTTCGTCCCGAAAGCGTAGAACCACCATTAATAAGAGTCTACATTGGCAACCGAGCCAGTGGATGCCCCAGGAAGCAGTCTATACAGCCAAAAAGAGTCTGAGGGGAGCATCCACGAAGTGGTTCCGGAACATCGGTCAGTATTTTGTATTAGTGCTTTCTTGGTGCAAAGAGGTCAATGTAAATTAAGTTATCCCAGCAGCTAGCTGGCCGGCCTTGGCAATGGTACGTACATTTGGCGACGGCTTAGTCTAAACTGCCGATCGCATGCGACACCGAAGCTTGTTGCTGATGTAAGATTCCCAAGGGATCTTTAGCCTGCATCTTGTTTTCTCTGTGCGTGTGGGTGGTTGTCTCCCTGATATGTGCCTCTTCCAAGCATAAGTGCGGAATGAAGCACTGAGCTCTCGCTCCACCGACCCCAGTGTGACACCTAGAACCGCGCCTTCGACCCATATAAATCTATTTCGTCGACGAAGGAAGCGACCAACACCACCAATGACCTTATGAAACTTGGCTTGGTGCCGCAAAGCAATCACTAACTCTTGTTTCCTCCAACTATTGGGCAGCTCGGCTATTCTGCTACGTATGGCGCACTGTGGACGACATATCTAGTTCGCAAACTAGTTGGCAAAATCTACCTACAGAGGAGCTAGAGAATTTATACGAGCCATACTTATTGGGCCGTATCTGCGCCTCTCTCTGCCGCAGCACCACTTTTATGATCCCAACATCTCTGGGGGCTATGGAAACGGAGGATGCTCGAGTTCTGCCACCTCCAATGGTTTGGAAAGAGCTCGGATGTTTGTCGGTAATTGGTTCTTAAGCATCCAATTTCTGATACCCTCAAAGTCCCGACATTGATGCAATGTGCTATAGTCCGGATATGGAGCACCGTATCCTTTTACCCATACATGACTTATGTGCTCCTCAGACGTGGGACTCATCACTCATGTATGGGTAAAAGGATAC